CAGCTATCTTAGACTTGCGTATGGTAGACGGTGCAGCCAGCTTCACCAGGCAAGCATTTTACTCAATACCCTTGTATACCCGTGTATTGTCCATGGCATCAGCTGCTACTGCTGCTGGTGCTGGCGCAGCTGCAACTGCTTTGCTGCTGCTGCTGCTGCTGCTGCTGCTGCTCGTGTTAGCTTGGCTGCAACAGCTTTGCTGTGCTTTTTTTCCTGCTGCTGGTGCTGGCGCAGCTGCAACTGCTCTGCTGCTGCTGCTGCTGCTGCTCGTGTTAGCTTGGCTGCAACAGCTCGCTCTGCTGTGCTTTTTTCCCCCCCTTCAGCCTCCCCGCACACCGAAAGCTTCTGCTCTCTGCGGCTGTTGAACTGCGCTCAGGCGGTACTGCGTACGAGAGACGAAAGCAGACTACTCGTTGACAGCACTCGCAGGATTGAGGGGCCGCGTTGTCTGTGAAACCCCTGCTGGGGGCTCGCCGCACTTCAAGGGAACGATCAGGCTGGACGCTCGGCCCAGGGGAACGCGCATCGTAGCTAGCAACGTTGCCCCAAGAGGTGCGTCATTGATCTGCTGCTGCTGCTGCTACTGCTGCTGCTGCTGCTACTGGAGGCATGCTCCAGCTGGCCGGATATGGTTGCTAGTACACCTGGTGGCGCGAGGCGCAGAAGAAGCGGACGCAGGCAGAGGTAGCTGCGCAGCAGCAGTCTGCTGGGGTTGCGTGCTCTCCCCCGTACTCTCGTGAGACAGCACTGCACGGAACCTCTGCAGCCTCAGGCGCCTGCTGCGTGTGTTGTGGGGGCTGGCTGCAGGGAGCATACTGCGGTGGACTGAGTGGATCGATGGCCTGGTCCTGCATGCTGCTGAGGATGTTGCGTTCTATCAGTCTCGCAGAAGCTGCAAGCAGGGGAATAGAGAACTCGACTCTGCATGCAGGGTCGTTGTGGGCGTGTCTGCGGTGATAACATTGCTGCTCGGCGTAGTGAGTGTTCGCTGTACATGGGGTGCACGGCACCTGACACTCAGATAGACTTTTACTTTTGTATAAGCAAAAGCAACTCGTCCCCTCCTGCTCAGCAAAATATATGAACTGAAGCATTGCTCTCACTGAAACCCATCGAGGGCCCCGCGTGTGCTTTGTGGGGATTTTACTCTGCTGATGTCTGCTGGAGAGTGAGTGCTGTTTGCTTGTGTTCGTGTCAGGCGTTGTTTCTNGATTTTACTCTGCTGATGTCTGCTGGAGAGTGAGTGCTGTTTGCTTGTGTTCGTGTCAGGCGTTGTTTCTGCTGAAAGGTCTGGTTGGTACTCGGCAGGGCTGGACGTTCGATATGCCGCAGTGTAAGACGCAGCTTTCTCAGTGGCTTTTCCTCTTGTCATGTGGACCAGTGGCTCTGAGCTTCGCACTAGATATTGTGAAGCTCCGGCGAAAGGAGAACCTATCGCACCCTCAAGGTTTACTGCGGGACCGGTGTGGAGGTAGCGCAAGGATACGACAGGAATGGAAGCATAGAGACAACGAAACCGAGCAACGAGAACAGCAGCAGCAGAACTGCACTTCGTATGACGAGGGCTGCTGCTCCTCTACGGTGTTCGGACAGCTCATATCTCCGTCTGCTCTTGATGATCTAGCTCGAGCAGACTTCTTGTTATTCGATAAGGGGGCTGTTGTTGATGGATCTACACTGCATCTCCGGGGTGTATGCGCCGGCGGCACCTGCTTTGCGAAAAATCTCGCAACAGGCACGCAACATGAAGACGCATTGGAGGCCGAGGGTCACCTTTGTGGCAGCGCCTTGAGTGCTGGGGTGCCCCTAGACTCTCCCAGCGACTGTGCTTGTCAGCGGGAGCCGACAGCACATGGCGGCGCGGCGGGGGGTGAAGATATCGCTGACAACGAGCCCCCGCTAAGCTCCTGCGACGCCGGAGGAGCCCTTGTCGTCAGGTGTGGGAGGTGCGACATCGAGATGGAGGATATGTCCACGATCGAGCACTACTACACGACGCACCGTGAGGAAAGATTCAGACTGGAAGTTCTCGCACAGGTGAGCTTGTTGCCGCTGTATGCAGGGGGCTAGAGATAGTAATTATTATTATTATTAATAATAATAATAATAATATAATAATAATATTATTATTATTAGGGGTACTGGGGGATATCTTGCGAAACACGCGAGCACTCACGGGGTGCTGGCTCCTGCAGATTGCGTCCATCTGCCACTGCTCAACGCCGTTCCTCTCAAGAAGAACCCAAGAAGGTAAGATGGGGTTCTTTAGCTTCCTGCNTGCCACTGCTCAACGCCGTTCCTCTCAAGAAGAACCCAAGAAGGTAAGATGGGGTTCTTTAGCTTCCTGCCGGGTCAGGATAGAATGCAGGATAAGATGGATAGAAATCAGGATAGAATGAAGAGCTGATGTTCTGCATTTGCTGAACTCTTTTTGCTGTTCCGTTGTAATACAGGGAGAAAGGAGGGCGTGAACGAAATGTCAGGGGTACCGGATGCAACAAGAACGCAGGTAGAGATAGACTTTCAGGTGCGGCTGGAACTCTAAGCAAAACAACTGAAGTTTCTAGCTAAGCTGCATCTGCGGTGAAGGTTGACCAGTAGGGCTCATGAATAGTAGTAGTTGTTGTGGATTTGTTCTGTGGCGCAGTCAACACTTCCCGAGGATTCCGTCGTATTGAATCTCTGCGGGGCGTTGGGGTACAAGCCAGTCCTCCGTCGCGGCACAGAGCTGCACGTCGAGCGGTCGCCAATACAAATGCCGGAATGTTCGCGCCTGTTGCAACAGGGAGAACCCTCGCAGGTTCCCAGGACACCGGGGGGAGCATCCAGCAGGCCTCCGTCAGGCGCTGGGGGGATCCCAGCAGAGAGGACCTGCAGCTGCTGCAGAGCCACTCCACTTCAAACCCTTGTTGAGGCTGTTTTCGGCGAGAAGCTGTGTGCCGCGAATTGCAATCCGGTGTCTCTAGTAGAGGTTGTAGGGAGCCACGCACCGTCGCAGCGGAGGCCCCGTCTGTCGTGTGTTGTGAAACCTATGGGGCACCGGTCAGGGGCCTTACTCGTGGTGAGGGGCCCAGCAGCAGACATCGCGAAGCTCTGCCGGGGGGGGTTGGATGCCTTGAAGAGGATCGAGCAGGGGACGGTTTTGCCGGAGAGGTCTCAGGACAAAGCAGCCAGCAGCAGCAGCGTCAGTGGAAGCGAAACAGAGAAGGTGCTGGAGGGCAGCATGAATGGGCGTGAAGGGGATTCAGCGGTATGTGGGGACGAACAAACGGGTGACGGAGACGCCGAGTACATACGTAAGGTATTGCTAGCTGCTCAGCGATTTGCGCT